CGGTCGTAACGGTGCGTGCTGAGTTTGTTTTAAACAAGCCATGAGATGTAATTGGAAAAGCAAGATGTAGGTGTTTCCCATGTGAAAACCACTAACGGACCTCAGGATGTGCCGGACCACAGGTGTGCACGCGGACCTGGGCTCAGGTGAGGCTGCTGTGAGTGGCGTTGGACCAGGATGCGAAATGTGAACAACTTAGGCGCTTATGTGGAAGCCACTCCTCCAGGACTTAAATAAAAACAGCTTCACTAAAAGTAGAAAAGGTTATTGTCTCCAAATGAATGACCTTTCCACATTCTGTGAGTTTTACAGGTTTTATTTGGCACAGTGGCTGTAACATTTTACAATCTTTTAAAATCTTTCAAAATATATTTTTATTGATTTCAGAGAGGCAGGGAGAGGGAGGTATAGAAACACCAATGATGAGAGAGAATCCCCCTCCCGCACGCCCACACAAGGGATTGAACCCACAACCTGGGCATGTGCCCTGACCGGGAATCGAACGGTGACCTCCGTGACCTCCTGGCTCATAGGTCAGTGCTCAACCACTGAGCATACCAGTCAGGCTGGGCACGTTTTACAATCCTATCGCAACACGTGAGTGACCCACTTACCCATGACCTTGCCACTTGATGTCACCGTTTTTATTTGAGCCAGTCTGAAGGGCGTGTGGTGTCTTATCGTGGATTCTTACCCTGGATTTAATTTGCATTTTCCTAAAGGCGAATGATGTCAGCCAGGCCTCCCTAGTGCCATCTGCACGTCCTCTTCGGGGCGCGTCTCTGCAGGTCTTCTGCCCATTTTCTAATTGGACTCTTTTCCTGTTTTTACTGTTGAGTTTTCCCGGCCTGGGAGGGGGCCCAGCATCTGAGCAAGGGGGTCCCGGGGGTGAGCCCGCAGCCTCTGAACACAGGTGCAGCCCGGGGGAGCGCAGGAAGTTCCCTGGGGCCGTGGGGAGCCTGCGCTGAGACCAGGGACACCCCTCCTCTGCCTTCCAGCCCGCAGGCCTCTCGGACAAACAGAAACCACAGGCCCCGCGGCCCAGCTGTCTCCCCGCTGAGCTGCAGACAATGGCCCGCGGGGCGGCTGGGCTGGCAGGGCTCAGCGCC